TAGATCCTTCGTTTTCGCCTCCCGGGCGGGAAGCCCACGAGACAGGAATGAATCCCTCGATCCTTCGCCAGAGGCGGCAAACTCATTGAGCCGGCTTAGGACGTTTACATTGTCCTTTTCCAGCTGACGTAATCTATCGCCAAATTTTTCTTCAATCATCTCCGCCAGCTGACGAGCCAAGGGGGCTGATCCCCCTGACCAGATTCCCATACTAGTTTGAGGGGTTACCCCTCTTGACCGAGTAGAGGCACTTTTATTCGTATTGGTATGATCCCTCCCTCCGTGATGACAGGGAGCTTGTAACTCGAGACTCCTTTGGTGGGGTCCTTTCCCTTTCTGTCGAGTGTTCACCATGGTCACTGTTCTTTATAGAGAAAAAACTAGGAAAACTAGTCGTTTCCCACAGACGGCGCCAGATTGTGCGTGCAAGATCCTGNAGTCTATCAAAATCCTTTTGACATCGAATTTCCCTATCCTCAGGGTCAAGACAAAGGCGTCGTTATGGGGAGTCACTACGCCTGTCAAATCCGCGTCGGAGAATGTAATGCCAAGCTCACCCGTCCTGGCCCTTTTACTTNCTTGGAACAGCCTGCGAGGTCCGGTGGTAACCTGGAACGGCAATGGGAGACCTTGGAGGAACGGGACAACGATCTAGTGAGGCTGAAAGAGGTTCCTGGAACAAAGAAGAACAAGTTAGAAGGGCACCAGAGTGTTTTCTGGCGTATCCCTTCCGACGATCTAGTCAGTCTTTTGGAAAGAGAGAGGAAGGGAAAACACTGAGTGAGTATTGTAGTACAGAGTTTTTTGTTGCATACCCGTCTTGCCTTTTGCAAGGAGTATTTATACCTCAAAANTGTCTAGGGCCAATGGCCTTGCTTTCCTTGACTGGTTGTCATGATGATGCTCGCCGGCTCTGGGTCGCTTTGGGGCCCTAGAGCTTTCTGCTTTGTTGTTTAGGTGGTTTCTTAGATCCTTCGTTTTCGCCTCCCGGGCGGGAAGCCCACGAGACAGGAATGAATCCCTCGATCCTTCGCCAGAGGCGGCAAACTCATTGAGCCGGCTTAGGACGTTTACATTGTCCTTTTCCAGCTGACGTAATCTATCGCCAAATTTTTCTTCAATCATCTCCGCCAGCTGACGANTGGGCGGCCATTTGAAGAACGGCTCGTGCTTGATTTTATGGAGCAGCTTGAAGATGGGTTCCTTGAACACAGTATGAATTCCTTTGGACGGACCCCTTGGAGGGGGTAGCAATCCCTTTCAGGGAATATCTTCCCGCTCCTTCTCTTTCCTCTTAGATTGGAGGGCTCGGCCTTTGCTGCTTCTCATCTCGTCCTCAACCCTCGAGTTTTTGTTTATCCGGGCCATTAGTTCCCCCATATCCGAGGGGGTCTTCTTGGTCAGGGATCGGTACAAGTCCGTGTCCCTTGCCAAGCCGAGCCGGAAAGATGCTGCTGCCATGACCTCCGAGCAGCCTTCTACCTCATTAACCTCTTCCCAGTATCGGATGGCGTACTGGCGAAGAGTCTCGGATTCCCTCCGTCTGAGGGTCAGCAATGATCCAATGTCTTTGGGGCGCTTACTCCCCGTAATGAATCGAGCCAGGAACTGCTTAGTCAATTCCTTCCAGGACCCAATACTGTTGGGGGGAAGCGCCTCGAACCACTTCATCGCAGAGTCCCCCAAGCTCATAGGAAACACTCGGCAGAGAAACCGTTGGTCCGAATGATAGAGGGACATCATCTGCTTGTATTGCCTGACATGGGCTTCGGGATCGGACCGCCCGTCATAAGTTTTGAACCGCGGCACGACAAACTTTCTTGAAACCTCCATCTCACCGATCTCCCTCGTAAAGGGTGTTTGTATGACTTCGTCCTCGGCCTCATCCTGGACAGCCTTACCCTTTCTCCTGGAGTCTAACCGGGCTCTGAGATCAATTTCTTCCCTGACGGGATGCCTTCTGAAGTCCTTGAGTTCATCGGTAAGCCCCTCATTTCCTGGGCGTCGTGTGGATTGGGTTGAGTCCTCCTCGGATTCATCTCCCTTCCTCCGTCTAGACAAACCTCGCCGGAGGTCGTCCAGGGCCAATGGCCTTGCTTTCCTTGAATGGTTGTCATGATGATGCTCGCCGGCTCTGGGTCGCTTTGGGGCCCTAGAGCTTTCTGCTTTGTTGTTTAGGTGGTTTCTTAGATCCTTCGTTTTCGCCTCCCGGGCGGGAAGCCCACGAGAAAGGAATGAATCCCTCGATCCTTCGCCAGAGGCGGCAAACTCGTTGAGCCGGCTTAGGACGTTTACATTGTCCTTTTCCAGCTGTCGTAATCTATCGCCAAACTTTTCTTCAATCACCTCCGCCAGCTGACGAGCCAAGGGGGCTGATCCCCCTGACCTGATTCCCATACTGGTTTGAGGGGTAACCCCTCTTGACCGAGTAGAGGCACTTTTATTCATATCGGTGTGATCCCTTCCTCCGTGATGACAGGGAGCTTGTAACTCGAGACTCCTTTGGTGGGGGCCTTTCCCTTTCTGTCGAGTGTTCACCATGGTCACTGTTCTTTATAGAGAAAAAACTAGGAAAACTAGTCGTTTCCCACAGACGGCGCCAAATTGTGCGTGCAAGATCCTGCACAATATAAAAAACGAGAACAGATCTCTCCCTTGGTGAACTCGAGTGAGCCAGTTGAGTGACCAACCACGCTGCTTGGAACAGCCTGCGAGGTCCGGTGGTAACCTGGAACGGCAACGGGAGACCCTGGGGGAGCGGAAGAACGATCCAGTAAGGCTGAAAGAGGTTTCTGGAACAAAGAAGAACAAGTTAGAAGGGCGCCGGAGTGTTTTTCGGCGTATCCCCTCCGACGATCTAGTCAGTCTTTGAGAAAGAGAGAGGAAGGAGAAAACACTGAGTGTGTATTGTAGTAAAGAGTTTTTTGTTGCATACCCGTCTTGCCTTTTGCAAGGAGTATTTATACCTCAAAAGCTCATGATTGCTGTCAGTGTAGTCAGTAGGTGATCATTAGGTACAGGCAGTGTGCGCACTGATTCTGATGAGGAATGTCTTCTCTTCTTAACTGCTCGGGGTCCCGAGCAATCAATGCTGGGTCATCGGGATGCCGACGGTACAATGTACTCCTCTCGGGGAGGATGCAATAAATGCTCTGTATTAGGAGCATTTATTGCCTTTCATTTCCGAGCCTTACCGCATTGAATGCGGTCTCATCAAGGGAATGGTGTAATTAATAGTTTGCTTTCCCAAGTCGCGTGTCAGCAACGGCATGCGGTTTCTCTGTCTTCGATGTGATATCATATGCCACGCGCCCATCCCTCATTGGCTGTGGCCCCTGCATTCCAGTACGTTCTGACACTAATTGTGTAAGACGAGGTCATGATGAATAGCCTAGGCTAATGACCTGTACGTCAATAGCTTATCCTGGAGTAGAGGAGGCGTCTAGGATGGTACACCTCGGCACCGAGGAGAGGCTGATCTCGGAACCGAGGGAGGGGATACCGACCGAGGTACCATATCAGACCGAGGCCACGTGTCGGTTGTAAAACATACTGAATGCATGATCCTATATGACGATTACCTCGGGGGCGAGAACCTTTGTGCGCCGATGGTGCTTGATCTTAGCAACAGTGTTTTAGTAACACCGAGGACACGTGTCTTCATCATAGGGTTTTTCAGAAAAGTCCCATCAAACTTTTATATCATTGTAAAAATTATTTTCTTATTTAAGAGTATAATAGTAAATTAAAAGTATTTAATTTTGTCTTTCATTTTCCTTCTTTCATGGATAGAAAGTTTATTCTTTCTATTTTTATATCTTTTTTATTTTCTATCATTCCAATTAAACATACTATTAAGATTAAAATAATAATTTTAAATAACTTTTCAACTAGCTGCCTTCCTTCCTTCCAGTTTCCTGTCATTTGTGGAGTGATTAAAAATGGTGGGCAAAGAGGATACCTTTTCCACCCATTTTTTATTTTCCCTCCATTTTCCATTTTTTTTCCAAACAAAAGTAAATGTTATTTTCTATCCCATTTTTCATCCATCCACATTTTCACCAAACCAAACAGGCCATTAATCCTACATCCCACGAACTCTGACGATACTGTTTTTTGAAAAGGTATCATCACTCAAGTGTTATGATACTAAAAAAAATAATAAAAATAATTATTATAATAATAATAAAAAAATTCACCCACTAAAATGGTAATTTTTTTATATAAAAAAATAATAAAAATAATTACCACAACAGTAATAAAAATACTCATAAAAATAATAAATCATCCGCAAAATAATAATTTTTTTAATTATAAAATGACCTACAAAAATTTTTATAACACCCTTAAAAGTGAACTTCTATAGTACCGTTGGTGGTATCAGTACTAAAAATTATAATTTTTTAAAACTAAGTTATAAGTTTAAGTTACAATTTTAAAGGACATGATTAATTATAAAATATTAAAATCGATACTCCCTTAAACAATTATAACCTCTATTTTTAAAATTATAATTTTATCACATAAAATAGTAACTAACGATATCGATACGGGAATTTTTTTATCAGTACCGTAAAGTTTTCTCTTTTTAAAATAGTAAATTTTAGAGTTAGGAATCGTTTTTTTGTAACGACCCCTCTGCCACCGTACACCTTTTCTGCGGCCAAGAAAACTGTCTAATTAATGAACTAATAAAAGAGTGTTTAAAATATAGGCAAAACGCCTGTTTGAGCGGTTGACCCTTCCTTTACTAACCCCCAATAAAACATCTCTTTCTCCTCTGTGTGTTCCCACAATAGAATAGAAATTCGTGATTCTCTGTCTGCAGTTTAAGAGTTTCCCAATTTAGGGGAATGCAGGTGGGAAATACAGAGAGAAAGAGAGATATGGGTAGTAGTTGTAAGATGAATGGTGGCTGTGAGCCTACTCTTTGTGTTATCTCTCTCCTAACCAAATGGGTTATTTTCATTTTCTAATGCTTTGCTCAGAAAACTATTGAAATGGCTTCTTCCCAAGTTGAAATCGCTTCTTCTTCTTCTACATTTGGTTGTGCCCTCAGGGATCATAATCGAGGAGACCGATGCAGCAGAGAAAGCAATGCTAGAGCCACTTTTCAGAAGAACCTCAAAGAATTGGTCCAAAACCACCTCCATTCCTGCATTTCAGGTTCACCCACAAACTCTAATTCCGAGTCCAATGACAATCCTAAAACTGCAGATTTCTGGGCTCGCCGCGAACAGAATAACGATCATTTAAATTTGCACTGCTCCAATGCCAGCAACAACAACAACAATAGCAACAATAATCATAGAAAAATGAAAGTTTTTGATCGTTCTTTGTCTCTTGTTCAGTCAAATGGTCCTATTGAAATTCCTCATCTGGGTGGTGTTTCTACCCTTGTCCAAAGATGGAGAGGTTTTGAGGCTGAGGCAAAGAGCTTGAATTCAAACAATTCACCTTTTTGCAACAGCAGAAGCTATTCTGGGTCGACTTTTACAGAAAATAATGCTTCATCATCATTTGTTGAAGTGCCACAAAGAAACTCTAATGCCTGTGAGTTTGTTGATGGAAGATATGAAACTCCTACATTGAATGAGGACTCATTTGCTGATTGGGAATCTGATAGGGCAGCTACGAGTGGCCCACCTTCTTCCAGGAGCAGAGATTCGGATGCAACAGAGAGTGAGAGGCTCAGGGTCGCAGATATCATCAGGAGACTATCATCTTCTGTAGAAGATAATAAGGATCACAAGCCACAGGGGGTTCTAAATGAATCATCAGCTGAACATAGATGCTTCTCCTCGGGTTTTAATTCACCTCGGATCAGAGGGCGCCAAGCATTTAGTGATTTGCTTTTGCAAAGGGAGCACGAAAGGCATAGGGAGCTTGAAGGACTTGTGGAACGTAAACCAGTTTCAAGGTTTACACACAGAGGCCGCATTCATGTAATGTTTATCAATTCAGTTTCTCACAAACCAAAATATTTATGCCCAACAAGTTGTTTGCAATATGTATAGTAACTGACTTTACATTATGGTTATATATATGAAGGCTTTGCTTCGAGTTAGGTTTTTACGCAGTGGAGCAGGAGGAGCAGAAGTTAAAGGGGGACAAAATTCGAATTCAATTGCACATGAATCAGATAAACCAACTCAGGGATCTTCCGTCATGCATCTCAGGTAAAAATTCCTTTCCTATTTTCCTACACATCATATTACTATTTACTATACATGGATTGTTTGCAACTGCATTGTTTGAGAAGGTTTCTGATTATTGAGACTACTCATAATGTCAATTTGTTTTGGTGAGTGTGGCGTGTCGTACATGGAACTCAAATAAGAATGTTGTATGTTGCTTAATTTTGAAAGTGATACAATGCGGAGATACTCATTGGGGTCTCTCAAGCACAGCATGCACCATATATGATGCATTCAGTATTTGCAACATATCCACTGACTCTCCATTTTGAAGTTCATTTAACTGCTATATTTAGTGCTTAGTTTATGCAATATTATCCAGAGTTATATTGTACCTTGTTTTTATACCCAATAGTTTTAATATTTTTAATTGAAATTGTCAATCCTTTGCGTAAGTGTTTGTGTTTGAGCACCAATATATGTGTTCAAACTAAAGATACCTTCACATGAGGAAACTATAAAATGTAACGATTGCAGTGCACTAGTTTTATGAAGAAATTTAAGGAGAATAAACACTCAGGGCATTAGAATTTAGTATTCTTTTGGTGATTCTAAGAAGCCTTGAATTTATTACCCTTCAATGTAGCTTCTGTTGTTCTTGGGTAATCACAATTTACCTTCTAGAGTTTACAAAAGTAGAATTGATTTAACTTGGCTTGCCTTCATCAAGTTTACTGGTGAAATGATATATTTCTTCATTTCAAAATGGGTTTGTCTTCATGCAAGTTTATCCACTTGGCATTGTTATCACACCATTGAATCAACATGGTGGCCAGGTAAACATATATGATTCTAATGTATTTTGACATATACCTCGATTTTGTACATGATTTTTTGGGTTGACTGGAATAATATGGACAGTCAATGTTTTCAGTTTTTACTGTAAATGATTATTTTCCCTCTAAAGTCAAAATGTGAAAGTTATGCTCGAGTTATACTTAATGGGTGTAATCTCACTTTTGTTTTTCACTTTAAAATGAAAATTTTCCATTTACAGGGAGAAATTCAATACAGGAGTTGAGCATGGTGCAACTGACTCTAGAAATCCCCATGGAGACGGTTCAATAAGTGCACGTAGAGAAGTAACAGATACCAGGCAAGATATGGGAAATTCTTCTACCTCCATTCGATCCAGAGACAAAATTCATCATCCGGAAGTTAAAACTACCTTTCAAGAGAGGATTCTCCCAGTGCAGAACTTGGACGATCCTCCAGAAGAAACTAGTGCAGGGTCAGATTTAAGATGGCAAGGAACAAGCCATGAAATCAACACCCTTTGCTCACAAGAATGTACAGAGACCACAACATCCCTGAATGATTTGGAAGAAAGCTGGTATGCAGAAAAACAAGAGTCTGATAATCATCAGCCAATAACCAGTCATGACTGGGTAAGTCATAGTTATCATCCACCAAGTGATTGGGAAGAGCAAGAGGTCAATAGCCAACATCTAATAGGAAATGCTCATGACTGGATGGGTAACATTTCCCACCCACAGAGTGCCTTGGAAGATCGGGAATACGGTTACCAGCAGCCAGTACAAAACAGTCATGACTGGATAAGTGATATTTCTCGGCCCCGGAGCAACTGGGAAGGTCTAAGGCAAGCAAGGTATCAGGAGATGCTTGATCCTTACTTGGACAATGAAGACATACGTCAACTCCTTGAAAGGTATATCTGCTTGTTCTGGTTTGTTGTTTTGTTGGTCTTTCACACACTACTTATGATAGCTTGTTGGTTCACCTCGGTTATTAGAACAACATGAGCTATTGCACAATTCAAAAGACATGAGAAGCATTTTTCTCTATGTGCATATATTGCTGCATTTATGACTGTAGGTTATGTTCTGGCTTTAGGAATCACAGCCAACCATGGTTACAACTTCCAATACTTGAGCATATAAAGGTCTTTGCTTTTGATAAATTGACAGAGGAAAAGATAAACGAAGTGGATCAGCAATTGCATACCGTATCATCCTATAACAGAGCCAACAAACAGCATAAAAAAAAAGCCCAATACATTAAACATGATCATTCCCATGTGTTGATGTTGTTCGTCGTTTGCTACTACTGTTTTAGTGCTAACTGTATCAATAAGATCCGACTAACTTGCAATAACTGGATGTAAAGGATTTTTTACTCTGAAAATGGGTCTTGTGAACCAATAGATGATTGTGAATATCGAAGTAGGAATCCCAAGTACAGAACATGTTAAGCTAGGTTTTTCAGCCCAAGGTAACACTTGCGGTAAATGAAGTTACTAATTTATCTCTGCAGAAGAAGCGTTTCAAATTTTCTTTCCAGTGGCTTGAAAGGGCGAATAGACCAATTGATGTTGTCTCGCACACAAAGAGAACCACATCCAACAGGCAATCACGTAGAAGAAGACATTGAAATAGAGGAAGAAGGGCAGGACGTAGAAGATGACATTGAAATAGAGGAAGAAGGGCAGGAAGGGGAAGATGAAGCGGAAGAAGAAACAGAAGAAGAACAAGCGGCTGAAGAGACAGAAGATGAAGAACAAGGAGAAGAATTCAATGATAAAGACGAAGAACAAGGAGAAGATTACAATGATGATGATGACAACGATAGCCATGTTGGCCAACTATACAACAGAGTTGAGGACGATGTTAATCATACCACATCTTCATGTCGGCTGCCTGTATCATCCTCATTAGGGTCATGGAGTCCTAATCGAGGTTATGAAGATAGTGATGATTATGATAAAAGTCCATCTCCAACTTTGCAACATTCAATTTCATCTGATTCTTACACGCAGGACAATGGGCAATGCTCTTCCTTCATGAATCATTCTTTGATCGTGAGTTTCTTTGAGATATTTCCATTGAACTTTCCATGAACTTTCTTGAATTTAAGGTTGATAAAAATCTCATGTGGGTCTAACAGGAAAAGGACATCATATACGATTTGCGAGGACATATGGAGCAACTCCAACAAGAGATGGCTGAACTACGAAGATCAATAAAGAGCTGCATGAATATGCAGGCAAAATTACAACGTTCCACTAAGAAGAAGGTCGCAGCTGCAGTAAGTCATTCAGGTGAGCTGGAGAATGTTAGTCATTCCCTATAGAGTATATCAAAGTTTGTTTTCCAATTCTTGGAACAAAAACCCAGAACTGTATGGGTGATTGGCTTCACATGTCATGTATGTTTGTTAAAACCTTCTTTCCCCCCCCCCCTCTCTTTCCTTTTTTTCTCTCTCAACCAAGATTATACTTACAATTTGTCTCAACAGCACAAAGGGAAGGAAGACAGTTGCTGAATAGGGTTGCCAGGCAAGGAAACTGTTGTATTTGCTATCAGATGCAAGTCAATTCCCTTTTCTACAGGTACTTTCCATTGATGGCTTGAAGCTAAGCTTTGCAATGTAAAATCCATTTAGTTTGAACCACTATAGTGTTCTATAATGCTGATTTTATGAGTTATGGCTGCTTTGTCTCTCAGATGTGGACAAAAGTGCGCTAATGATTTGCAATCGAATAGTGGAGAATGCCCCATATGTCGAGCTCCAATAATGGATGTTGCAGGCAGAGTTGCAGATTCACCCAGTAGCCAAATATGCGTCAACCGCTTCACCACCCTGTGTAACTGCTCTAAACGAAGCGTTTCACTATCAAAGAACAAGAAGTTATGAGTTAGATGATTTGCATTCTTTAACATTTACCCAGAAATCAGATAGTAAATAACCAAAAACTGTAAGATCAGGAGTTAAACAAGAACCTCGAGACTTAGGGAACACAACAAAATTAGAGGAAGAATATCCCTGATGTTTCTAAATTTAGGTATTTCTAGAACTTGTAATCTGTAAGTGTTTCAATCCCCCCCTTTTTTTATTGGCATTTTCCTGTCAATATGCTCTTTTTCATCATAGAATCAAACCAACCATTGCAACATTTAGAGTGTCCATATCAAAGAAAATGCATGAAATCTTAAGTGAGTTTCATACTTATAAACCTACATCTCATTAGATGTTTAAAATCTTTTCAAGAATTGAAGTGCACAAAGACGAAGAAATAAGAAGTATACTCTTGTATAATTCTGAATGGACCACAAATGAATGAAATTGGAAGTGCAATTTGAGACAAAGATGTCCACTGCCTATGTTGAGTGAGAGAATAAACAACAAATCTGCACAACAATTTCGTAGTATCTTACATTTTCCATTATCTTAAGTACCCTTTTAATCAACATTCGATTAGACTTAGTATCCTGCTTTATTGCAAGTAATCTATCATATGTACCCTGTTTTCCATGTATTACACCTGAGGCATTAACTGTCAGAGACAGAAAAAATCTTATGATTTCATGTGGATCTCTCTCATGAGCTGGTATTATACCAAAAATTATGTTCAATAATACATGCTCACAGATTTTGGAATAAAGTTTATGGGTGACCAGTCAATTTACCTGAGGCTTAGTTGAAACTACGATCACTTCTTCTCAGATTTTCCAACACATATCTCTTGCCAGTCAGATATTCAACCAATCCTACCAGGCGATGAGAGCATAAAATAAGAAGCCAAATCTACAGAATAGAAGAGATGAAGAAAGAGTGAAAGAGGGTTTTATTCAGATGCAGCATCTAAGCTTCCCCGTAAAGATGGCATCCTCACATGCATTTATACAGTCGTTGCAATCTGCAGGCATTGTTTGATGCCTATACTGTGCTGAGATTCGTACATGATTCTGAATGGTCAACAATAGAAATGCAATGGTAAAAGAATTTTTTGTGAGATTAAAATTTTACCATTTGTATAGTCTCGACAGTCGTGATGGCCAATTCTCAAATCAGTTTCCCAGCTTTGATTGAACTTCAATGTTGCAACTAGAGCATCCACATTTGTAGATCCAATGAACCAGCATTTAGTTTTTGGAAGCTTCTTAAGCTTTCTTGTAAGAACAGCTCCTGATAATGGTGTAAGCCTAACAGATGAGTTAAGAAAGGAATGGGGGCCTTCTATTTTTCTAACTTTGGAATAGAATTTGCATTGAAAATGTTGTTCTTTATGTGCAAATGAGCATTTGTACACCAAGCAAAATGCATAGCACGAATTACAGACACCAGGATTGTTTTTTTTTCTTTTTTCCTTTTCCTTTTAGCGAGGGGGCCTTAAGTTGTGGGCTGGGTACCCCCCCCCCCCCCCAAAAAAAAAAAAAAAAAAAAACCTCTTTTTTTCTCCCAACAATCTTTCTGTAAAGTATCAAATTTCATGCAACTAATCTGCATGGAGTGCTGGCCAAACTCTCACTCCCGTGTTGCTTTTTGAGTCAATATTTTTTGTGTAAGGGGATAATATTGGGTCTGCCTCCCAGTTTTGCTAGGGTCTTATAATCAGAGAAAGTTATTCTTATGAGAGCTTCTCAATAAAATGACCCCTTTTGGAAAGACTTAAACTCAATCGCAGCTTAACAGGTTCGCTTGCTGCATCCTTCTTCTATTTAAAAGTTTTTTCGAAGCCCCTTTCTAGCTCCTCTCCTTTGTCGTTGATAATGGTTTTCCTCGCTGCAGTTTTTTGTTGGAGAAAACTTTGAATTGCACCTTATGTTTTGTTATCTATTCAAATTGGATTATTTATTCCCAAAAAAAAAAAAAAAGACCATGGCTGATGTCCTAGGTGGAAGGTCTTTAGAACCCACAACAGAGGGGCCAAGCAATAGTAGAATTATCTATGGAAAGACAGGAATAATGAAACCAGAAAAGATCAAGAGAGACTGCTAAAAGTCTCACCTGGTATGTTGTTGCCAGATAGGGCTGCAAGTGCAACAAATATGTCTTCAGGATCTTTAGGTTGAAAATCAAAGACCAATGCCTGTAGAAATATATATATATATATATATATATATACCCGATGGACTGTGAATTAATAATATTCTCAGAAATTCAATTTGAGTTCTTGAAACAAATAATCCCCAGCAGAATCAATTAGTAATCTGTCCATTTTAAAACAGAAATCAAGATTACTCAAAACAGAAACTCGCAAAAGTAGATTGGGAACCTATTACCAACGCAAGAATTTATAAATTATCTACCTCAGTTAATCCAAACTATAAATTCTCAACCTGTTCATTCTTCACTTGTATTACCAACCATGGTCTCATTAATACCTTTGTTAATAAAAGCATTTAAGCATACAAGATAATTAATGTCCAGTATTGAAGGCAGATACACTACAAGAATTAAAGTCTTTTGAGATAAGTTTTTTTGCGGCGGTAGTGTTCAAGCGTATTCTAGAGAAGAAAAAGTTTTTTTTTGTGGCTGTTGTGTTGCCATAAAAAATTTCAAATACTATTTGAGACTGGCTGTTATAGCCACAAATAACCGTAAAGAATTTTTGAGAGGCCACTTATTGTGGTGTGGTCTTGTAACGGCATGCCTCAGCCAGAGCCTCAAAAAATCTTTATGGTTATTTGCCATCTCAAACAGTATTTGTGACAGCAAATAAAAAATTTTATGAATGCTCTGTCGTCACAAAAAAAAAAAACTTCAAAATATGCTGTTTTGTGATGGTGGACACGACCCTCACAAAAAATGTCTCAAAAAACTCTAATTCTTGTGTGATAAAAACACAAAAACTATATAATCTGCAGCCTCTGACAATTAATCATATGGCTACAGTTTTGGATTGCAAAAAGAAAAGCTAAAATACTCAACCCAACACGCAATAGGTTGAAGAAATCATCAGACCCCCATAACCAAATTGGAGAAAAAGAACCACCAAATCTGTATTCTAATCATGTCATTCGCTATGCATCCATCTACACTAACACCAGCCATATCAAGATTTACAAATAGAAGAGTCAGCAATAACTCAAGTGAGGGGTATTATTGGGGGAGGGAGAGGGAGAGAGAGAGACCTGAGAGTGGGGAGGTGAAGATGACTTGATGATGACCATGAAATGCTGCAAATCCCAGAGATTGAGAGAGTAAGCAGTGGACATAAGCAGCTGGGCAGGCCCTCTTGCGGCTCTTAATGGCACTGCTGCTACATACACTTCATCTCTGCCCATTGTTGTAACTGTTGAATTTGTGAGGTTACTGAACATTGAGGCCATCAAAAAGTATTGGCCTTTCTTTTGGAGATATCAATTAGATAAAACTAACAGTTATAGTAGTTAAGGTGACAGTTACTAAAAAGTATGGGCTTGGTTTATGAGGCCTGTGAAATTGGGCTTTGGTCGACAAATATTTGGTCTTATCATTGGTCATGTGAAGATACATCCAGATAGAAACACCTAACACATTAAACCGATACATTATAAGGGCAATTTTTAGTAGTAATAGTATTACATATACAAATTTGAACTTTTAAATGAATAAAAAATGAACCAATTGCATTATTATTATAGTGTCATATCAATTGATCTCTATCTTTTATCGGTCTAGCATTACTCGAGTACTATTCATGGCATTACATTTGGATCCAAATTTCTCTTACCATTTACAGATTGAATTAACAGTAATATTACATTGACCAAATTTAGAGTCCAAATGACATGACAGTTGACTTGGATTTCTTTAATTGGTGTCATGTCATTTGAACTCCAATAAAAACTTTAAATAATCAACTATCATGTCATTTGAGTTTTAAATTTAGTTCCAAAATTTAATCAGCGTAGCATTACTCTTGAATTAAACCATGAGACAGTAAAGAACCCAAAAAGTCATTTTGATCATATTCAACCCATTGGTGGTCAGACGGATTCTTTATATCTCTACTGTTCTTTATGCACCAGAGGTGTAATTTCTTCCAAGCAAAACCTTCTGTCATAAAGCACAGCCACCAAACTAGATGAAAATAAGCAACATAAAAGGTGAAGACAGAATATTCATGCAAACATAACACTACCCCCACATTATTATTATTATTCAACACAACATAGACCATCTCTATATTATCATACATGCATCACATACATGCACCATAATACAACTCATTAAACCTGTCCTAAAACCAATAGCCACACTACCCCCCACATGGCAAAATTCACAGCAAACATCCTCCTATGATGGATGGATCATGCCCATGTCTTCTTCTTCTAATGCAATTCCGCCACATGGCTAGTCGGCATTGGTCTAAAGTACCTAAAGACCCTTATTAAACTAAACAGAAACCCAATGACTAGACAAATAACATGGGAACAGGAAAATATTGCTCCACAATCCCAACACACAAACTTCCACTGGGCCAAACTTTGATAGCTAGGCTTATTCCTCAGACTTCACAACTGGTGCTGCTTCTGCTTCTGCTTCTGCTTCAACTTTCTCTTCAACCTCAGCAGGCTTCTCTTTCTCAGCAGTAACTTCAATTTTTGGAGCTTCAGCTTCTGTTTCAGTTTCCGGTGTCGGTTCCGGTGCCGGTGCCGGTGCCTCAGTGCTCTCTGTTGGTTTTTCAGTCTCCTCGGCAACTGGTTCTGGTGCTACCTTTGCAGTCTCCTCTTGTGGCTTCTCCACCACTGGCTCTTCAGGCACGACCTTCGCCTCTTCTACCACCTGCTTTATCTCAACTTCAGCTTCTGGAGCCACAGGCTCCTCGGATACCGGAGTAGTCTCAGTCTCTGTGGGCTTTTCCGGTGCAGTTTCAGGTGCGGGTGGTGCAGGAACTACTTCCTCCTTGGCGATTTCCTGTGCCTTGGTTGGTTCCTCAATTTTCTCCTCTGAGAGTGCAGGTGTTGCTGACACAACCTGTAGAACACAATAATTAATTATTGATACAATAAAAACAAATCACATCAATGATATATTAAGTCGAGATCAGATAATTAAGACAAGATTTTGTTGAGTCGAGATATCGATCATGAAAAGAACTGCTGCTATAAGAAAGAAGAAATCCAAAGGGAACATGTCTGTCTGGATTAACTGAGCATTTGCAGCTTATATCTGGCTTAACCATACAGCCAATTAATTTTTTGTAATCTTGGGAGCAGAAGTTAGTATCAATTTCTGCGATAATACTGTTAATATATTCAACTCGAAACCAATTTGTAATAGATGGAGATGAATACACAGCTTTTTTATATTCGTTTAGGAGGTGTTATTATATCGGAGTGAACAAGCTTTAGTAGGCATAGTGATCAAAAATGGAGTTCAAGAGTAATCCCTGTGCTTATATATGTATAAAAAAAGCATACATAGTTGATGGCCAAAAATATCAGGAAATAAAAAGGGTTAGATCCTGTATAGATCAAACTCCACAGATATGTGGCAGAGGTTGAGTTACCTCAACAGTGGCCATTGCAAAACCCAAGGAAGCGTATATGAATAAATAACAACAGAGACTAGTGAGAATAACAGGAGGCAACAAAGCCTAGTGGAGAAGAGAAAGAAGGCTTTAGTTTTGAGGTGAGAAGGTGAATCAACAAGAGAGGTTTATATAGAGGTGGAGGAGCCTCAAGTTTATATGAGAAAGAGGAGAGAGAGAAGAGAGAGAAAGGGGTAGGGCCACATGAAGAATCTTTATGAAATTGGACATCTCACCTCACTGACTTCAAGGAGATTAGCATGTTTGATAATCATGTTGAAAAAAGGCTATAAGATGAGGGTTTGCTATTTTTTAATATGCTTGTTTGTTGTTTTGTCATTGGAGGGTATGAAATAATGGAGGCCATTTTCCTATGGGCTATCACCTTTTTTGGTTGAGTGTGCTCCTGTGCTTTGTGCAGTCAGGGCTGGAGGAGACCTGGTGAAAAATTCCAGTGCGTCACTAATCATCCACCCATGTTCTTATATTTATAATTCTATTTAATTACCTTCTATTTGCCATCTCTCTCTCTCTCTCTCTCTGATGCACCTTCATTCTTAGTTCTTGGATGGTGGTTCTGAATACAATGACAAAAGGGTTTGGGTTTGGAGATGGAGATGTGACAGACTGATTGTAATGTTATTTTATGGGGTAAAAGGCAGCTACTTTTCTTAAATTTTCAATGGAAGTAGTGTGAAACTTTACTTCTACTAATTAGTGTGTCCATGAGCGAAAAAAAAAATTGAAGCACCATTGATTAGTTGATGTTCTGATTCATGAGCTTTGCTTGGAAATAGATTGATTCCAAACTCCAAAACAATAAATTAAATGGTGATAAACTAGAATAATACTATTCGGATATAATTATTGGACTTAAATAATGGAACAACTATTCTCATTAACAATAGAGTTCTCCTACTAATTTTTAACTAGGCTTAACAATGGAATGCAGAGATGGAAAAAATCACATCAAGCATTGATTGATTTAGGAGTGATTATGATGGTGTTTGGCCTTATATAATGTTGTGTAAGTTTGAGAGAATACCATATTTCTGGTATATGTCAATTCATAACCCCCATAATTCATATACATAATTTTCATGCCTCGCTTCTCTCTCTCTCTCTCTCTCTCTCTCTCTCTCTACAAAAAATTGTCAAGTGCCTATTAAAATCGACAATTTAAAATTAAGGATTAATCTAATACATTGAATAATTGTGATTTCTCTACAATAACCTCTAATATCTTTCTATCTAAACTACTACGATTGGCTAGCCATATTATTGATTGGTGCATGCATGTCAAATACTGTATTAAACCGTTCTTCAAAGGAACTTGTATAGTTTTAATCTCATCTTTATGTTTTAATTAAATAACTCAAGAAATAAATACTTGTATTGAGGTATGAAAATTTGGATAGCGTGTTATAGTCTTGACCCGAATATAATAAATTTGTCATGATTATTGAATTTTATTTAGAATTTTAAAAAAAAATAAAATAAAATATTGAAATTGAGAAGATCCAATCCACATCCTTGATCCTTTTCGCAGTATATAGCCACCGCACTGGCACGCCAAGTGAGAAAAACTGGAATGCAATGAAGTGGAAAGGAGCTTAGGGCGGTGTAAAGTGTGGTCCCATCACTCCCATTCGGCATAATTAACCTTAAAGAAATGTATAAATGATGACGTGGTAATTTGTCTTGGTCCAGGTCACACCTGTCTTCTTCCATTGGGGATGGTTGTCAAGTGGGTCCCGACAGATGGGACAGTCTATGACTCGGGTCCCACTACCATTTGGCCTCGTTAGATTACAGTCATCGTGTGTGATCATGATGTGCCCAAAAATCAATCCTAGCCAATAAACGAAAGTTGCTTACTCGACATGAATTTATTTTTTTTATATTTTCTTGGTCAGGAACTGTACATGAATGGAAATGCAAATTTAGTGGATTTTACACAATTAATGTATGTAGTTTTTATTTATTAGCTGAACTTGTTAGTAATTTTTTATGCTCAATTTAGTAGAGAGGATAAAAAATAAGACAAATAGAAAGTAAGAGCAATATACTTTCTATTCTCCAAATAAAGAATATTTTCCTTCCTTTGCATTTGATAAAATTGATAAAAAATAAAAAAGATCAATTTTTTTTTTTGTGTTTGGTAAGATGAATTTTTTATATTTATTTTAAATTTTTTATTTTTTAATTTTTTTATTTTTAAACTTTTTTAAAAATATACAAATACATAGTTTATCATTGTATTTATATATGAAAATTGTAATTACCCATAAAAAAAATTATTATATTATGTTGGTGCATTGGCTAGCTAGAAGTAATTATATATATAAGGATAAAAATAATTTTTTTTAAAAAAAGACTAATATGTCTCTAATAAAAAGTCTTACCTAAAGACCTATATTAGGACTCTTATACATGTAGTTTAAATAAGGTAGTATTATTGAATAGATCAAACTCATATATATATATATAAATATATTTAGGTTGTAGGGTCTTTTGGGCGAGAAGGCTTATGGAGGAGGCTGTCCTATGAGTAAAGAAGAAAAAAATAACGTGAAAGAGAGAGAAAAGAAATAAGGAGGAAGAAGACAAGTGGATTAAGTCCTTTAAAGGTGAGTTTATATTTATTTTATGGGTTTTATAGTTTATTCAATTACATGATATTAGGTTGATGATAATGATATTGCGTAATATGTATATATACACATACACAGAATGAGTTTCATGGTAATCGCTTATTATTATTGAAATTTATTATAGATTGAATTTAGACTTATAGTTGGCTAATCAATAGGTTGAAAAAGAAAAGAAAAAAAAAGGGTTTGAAATTTTTGTGGCAGAACAAACAACCTGGATGACGGTTGGTAGAAGAAAACCAAGCCATAAATTATAGAAAGCTCCCTTTTAATTTCAAAGAGTTTTATTTTGACCATTTTATTCTTCTGAACTTAATTTTAAGTACTTTTTTACTTGCTAAGTTGTAAGAACAGAATTCTGAAAAATTTATGGCAGTCCTGAAGACAGAAAATTCGTTTTTAAAGAAATTATACTTCGACTCCAAAAGTTTAAAAAAATATAATTTGACCCTAAAATTTAAAAAAAAAATTCTAAATAGCCCAGAATACTTCCATATCCTATTCCCTCGTATTAGAAAGGATGTTTATATATAAAGGATATATTAAGTATATATCAAAGAGTAGAAAGTACGTAAATTAAATATAGAATTATGAAATGACGAAGTTAGAAATAGGGATTGATCGTTACATGTTATTTTGAATTAGGTGATGATTGCATTGAGGTTGAGAAATAGTGTTTTGAACTGAATTTTGAAAATCAAGGTGAGTAGTTTATTACTTCTTTTGGGAGGATTTTCTATATTAAACTTGTAGGTGCGTGTGTGTAAATTTTTCATATATATGATATATGTTGATGTTTGAGATTGTAATTAAATATTTTTACAATTGTGAATTGTTACACATGTGAATTTGTAAAACTTATGAGATGATTTTATATTATTGCTTAAATGGTTTTGGTGATGAAAGAGAAATTTTATGTGCGATGGGACTAAAACAACAGTTTTAGTGTGTGTGTGTTGAAATCATGTTTTATGAGAAGGAGACTGGGTTACCAGGTCTAAATGGTAACGAGATTGTATACCAGCATGGTCGATATAGGGATGTGCACAAAGGGACCAGATATCAAGCTAGTGATAACAAAAGACGAGGCCAGTAATCAGGCTAATAATGACAAGAGATGGGGCTAGTTACCAGACTAGTGGTAACAAACATGATTTAACAAGTGTATTTGAGACTGAATGTGTATGTGAGTATTTTGAACTATAAATGTCTTTTTTTTATAAAGTTATTATGATTATGAGATCATTTTGTTTACATAGTTATGTGAAAGGGATTGAGATACAATTTATTGTATTTATGTATATAACAAAATTTATTTGTGTATATGAAATGTGAGATTTATTTTCAAACCTCATTAAAGGTGGTTGTTACTCACGGGTCTTTATGCTCATCCAAATATTTAACATTTTTTAGGTGAGGATCAGGAGGAGGAGTAAATCCTTGGATAGACAAAGGATTAGAAGAATCGAAGATTTATTTTATTGTAGGTCTTCAGGGATAAATATTTTTTATAATTTTGAGACAAGTATTAGATTGTTTTGAGAACAATGTTATTTTTGCTTAAAGTAGTGAACCTTATGGATTAATTATTGTTTTACATGAGTTTGGTAATAATGTCGGTGATGTTAGTTTATTTCTTTGGTATTCATTAGGTCGGTGAAAAAGATCACTTTATTATTTGTCTTCCGCTATATTTTGCATTAATTATGCACAAGAATGGTTGGTTAAGGCCTTTGTGGCCGGTCCGTTACTCACCCTATGTGATCCGGGGTGGGGGTGTGACAAAATTAATGTGTGTGTGTGTATATATATATATATATATATATATATATAAATAAGATATATTTCAACACAAATAATTAACTTTTAATCTATTTTTCTTCCAATTTTAGTAGGATTGATTTTACTGAGTTAAAAAGAAAGTTCATTCATCCACTTTTTCATTTTTCTTATTTTCTTTCTTTACCAAACATAATATTTTATTCATCTATCTAACTTTATATCTTTTTAACTTTTTATCATTCCATTTTTTTATAGTACTAAACAAAGCATTAGAATCGGTCAAGGATATATACCATGATTTTAAACAGTCATACTTTTTCGAATCTAATTAGAACTAGACCCCAAATATCTTTAAACATAAACTCTCAAAGATATATACCATGATTTTAAACAGTCATATTTTTTCGAATAGATTCTACTCGTTCCTAACTTTTATTAATTAGAACTAGACCCCAAAACTTTTATTTTAATTTACGAAATTTAAAATTGTTCAATAACATACTTCTTCGGATACCGAATTCAAAAAAAAAAAAGACAATTAATAAGTAGAAAAAGTGTTGTTAAGTCCGAAGGACAACAATTCCCGTGACTATAATTAATAAATAATTATTGTTTTAGATCTCAATGGGAATTAAACTGGCAGATTTCGTACGTCAGTAGCCGGCCAGCAGAAACAACCCCATACGGGTATGCGGTATGCCTCTAGATTTGTGTCAAAAGCATTGCATGCCTCTCACTATGTTAATGTACTGCCGTGCCGTTCCAACTCATCAATCACCCATTTTTCCAGTGAAAAAAAAG